CTCCCTGCACAACCCACCGGCTGATGTCCAAATCCATTGAGAATTCATCAGGGCTCATCTCTGCAACTAAACCCAGCACAGCCTTCAGTTTGTTACACTTCACCAACATCATGTTGAAGTTGTTCTCCAGTAAGTACTCATAAACAAGAACAATCCTTGTCTGGCCCAAGCAGCACACGCGTCCAACTGCCTGATTGACAACAGCCTTTGACATACCAGGAGAGAAGAGGTGGACATTGTGACAGAGGTTCTGCAGGTTCAGGCCCATCACATTAACACCATAGCTGCAGACCAACACAGAGCATGAGGCTGGATCTTGTGTGAACTGCTTGATGAGTACAGAATGCTCATGAACACTGAGTCCTGCATGAAAAACCCTTGCATCAAAGTTGGCCTCCACAAGGGTGGCAGCAACATACACCTGTTCAGCCAGAAACTGTGTCCACACAATCACTTTCTCCCCATGTATGATCACCTGGTCACAAAGGATGGGTAGCATGGCTCGCATCTTCAGGCTTCCATGCAGCAGGAACTCCAGGCACCAGGTCTGTTGTTGATTGGTGAGAGATGAGGCATGTTTAAAAAAGTGCGCCATAGCTGTTTTGTTCACCACTGCCATTTCTTTGATGGCGCTGGCCATGAATGGGGCAACCTGATGAGTCTTGAGCTTAGCAACGGTGACAGGGATACTTTGTGCCTCCAGGGAAGATTCAACATAGTGCATGCCAAGCCATGAACTCAAGAGCATCAACATCCAGAGCTTCTGCATATTATAAATGAACTTATTCCAGTCCACTGGCAAACGTGTGAAGAGACCCTTGCATAGGTTTGAAGCAAGATCACTGAACATCTCATCCTCAGGCTTGAAGAATTTCACATTTATCACCTTGTGTTCAATTGGAGGGATATCAGCACCAATCAGTGTCAGTGAGTCAAACAGAATTCAAGAGGTGAGGTTACACCTGATCATCAGATGCTTCAATACCAGACAAAAATGATCCCCTGACACATTCAGTGCCACTTCCTGATTCAGTACATATTTCTCAACAGCTTTGACGCTACAGCGCAGCTTCACCCTGGGATGGTCCTCAGGCAGTTTAAAAACATTCTGTTCTGTTGATATGCTGAGCGTGGTCCAATCAGTATGGGTCCAAATAGACAGCATTGTAAACAGCAGGGGCATATAGCCACACATGTCATCACAGGAATTGTACAACAGGGTGGCTGAGAGCAGGAGGTGAAACAATGCAGCTAACCAATACACAGCTTGTGTTTGAGAGGACATCAGGTTGCAGAGGCTATGCACTTCATCCAGGATGACATCATGGAAGCATTCCTGTATATTGAAAGGGAAATCAGAGGGAGGGCGTGC